TCTTCTTCTTCTTCTTCTTCTTCTTCTTCTTCTTCTTCTTCTTCTTCTTCTTCTTCTTCTTCTTCTTCTTCTTCTTCTTCTTCTTCTTCTGCTGACCTTTTCCAGCATTTGGGTGTTGCTTCTCGGACCTCCCAGCAATAAAACACCCCACTTATTGCCACTCTGCCAGCCTGAGTTGTTTTGCTTCCAAGCCAAATTTCTATGATTATGTCCTGTTCCCATTTTCAGTTAGCGTATGGTTGGCGGGAGCTCTCGTGTGGTTTGCTTCTTCTTTCCTATGAAACATCTATCGTCCTTGTCTCACCTTTTTTATGTTTGTTACTCTCTCGCAAACATCCCTAATCTTCTGGCGCTCATATGACCTTAAGCTGTTGCGAGCGCCGTAAAACCTCTACTAAAATAAAACATTTTCAGTTAGGTCTCCCCCTTCCTCTCTTGCCTTCTATCTTTTCTACGAGAATGTTTCTCCAGCGAATCACCGCGCTTGATATGCCCACAGTCAGTGGTTCTGATCAACATCACGACAGAATCAATAACAAAATAATCCTCTAAACAACTGCGAACGAGCCAAAACTGTGAGTCAGTGCGAGTAATGAAGAAGACATACACGGCTACTCAGAAGACTTAAATTTCCGTCAGAACTTCACGGCACTTGCAACACAAAAAGGTCAGAAAAGTGCCAAAGATTAGAGATGTTTCTGGAAAGTAACATACAAAGAGAAGGAACAAAGTTAGGTGTATATGTTTCACAGAAAAAAGCAGCAGATCACACATGAGCACCCAGTAACCACCAACTGCTTGGAAGACAACAGTTTATTCACAGACAAACGTGTGAACCTGGGCTTCAGTGCAGAATCCCTTGATCATTATTAACAGCTGCGTACGAATAAACAAACAAACAAACGCACAGAAGTGCAGTAAGGGCAGAAAGGCGGTGACTCAAGGTGCGCGCGCGTGTGTGTGTGTGTGTGTGTGTGTGTGTGTGTGTGTGTGTGTGTGTGTGTGCACTCGCACAAAAAGTAGAACAGGGTGAGTCAGACAGAAAAAGAATACCACTGAAGTGTAATGAATGTCGT